TGCTGACTCTGTTGCCAAATTCCCTAAGTAAAAAAACTAACTTCAAGAAGGGTGCAAATGTGCTGTCATGCTTCGATAGATCATCTGACAGGCAAAGACAGACTGGGAGCTGCACTGTGATGCATTCCTGTGAGCATGGCAAATAGGCTAAAAGCTGGAGCATGTCTCTGGCAGCAGCTTATTGAGTCTAAGATCCTAAGCCCTGTTTTCCTGTACCACAGCAAGCTTTGCCTTAGATGTAATATCAGCAATTTGATAATACGTTACATGCGGACTTTCCCAAACTGCAGCTGAAACATCTCTCCATGAAGGTGATCTGAAGACTTGCAAATATGCAGACATTCTGCTGTCAAATATTTAATGCTTATATTATAAAAGGTCAAAGTTATGTATAACGAATTTATATTGATTTCCAACTATAAAGAAGCAAGCCACATGAAAACCAGCAGAAGCGTATTCAATCCAGAAGGATTCTACTCAGGCAAGCAAGAGTGTTTTCAATAAAGAATCTAGAAAAAAGTGCTGTTGTGCTGCATCATGTGGAGAAGGTGGTATTGGAACTGCAGGGAGTTGTACACAAGACTGTTCATGCTGCAAGAAAATGTTAGCCAAAGATTTGTGGTTTTGTTTGATTTTTTTTGTCTTTGGTTTGGTTTTGGTTTTGGGGTTTTTTTTTGTGTGTGTTTTGGTGTTTTGTGTGTGTGTGTGTTTTGGGTTTTTTGTTTTTGTTTTGTTTTGATTTTTTAATTTAGTTCTTCCTAAAGATCAGAAGCATAGTTTCAACGGTGATTTCCTGGGTAGTTTATATGGGTGATATATCCTAAAGAATTTATTTTGGGCTATAGATCATATATTGATTGAAATGGGTTAGAAACCCATTGAAAGCATTTGAGAGTTCACTGAAGCAGACAAAAGTTGAAGGCAGCAATCCCAGTCCATTTTAAAAATTAGACCATCATTCTTCAGTATTTGTATTTCCATAATAAATCCTTTGCTAGATACGTCAAACAAAATATATAAGAATCAAGGAAATTATACTAAAGTTCTGCCATTCATTTAGTGGCCCTCACAGTACTACGGCCTGCAGTCACTGCACATCATCTCTGTGGCACAAAGCCAGTTTGACTATCAGCAGATCCAGCTTTAGCAGAGTTTTATCTCCATTTCATCTTGACTTATGTTTTAGAGCAATTCACTCGATCTTTAGCTTCCCAAGCTTTCTTTTGGATCAAAAGATAAATTTTATGTATTACAGGTTCTGAGCTGGAGGTAGATATGAGAGAAGTTGGTACAGACATTAGTTTCTAGATCAAGCATATAACTTGAATACCTAAAGAGTGCTTAATTGAATTCTCTAACTTTTGATTGAGTCCTGAAACAGGTTTAGTTTCAGACCCCTGATACATATACATGACTGGTTGCATTTTCACAGACCAGATGGACTACCTGGTTTAATGTCCTGCTCAGACAATAGCCCATGGAAGATTTTGTGGGAAGAGCATTAGGTGATGTTATGGAATGGTGATACTTCGCCAGTACTCTCTGTGACTTTGTAATCAGTGATTTTCTGGCCAGGAGATGGTATCTTTGTATATAAATAGTCAGTGGCTCTTGCTTCTGTGAGTTTCTCTAGTAATTTCTGAACCCCTGTAAATTTTTTATTTATTTTAAGATAAATCCTTAACTTCCTGTAGTAAGAAGGCATCCACAGTTTAATTACGTGTTGTGAGAAAAACTACTTCTTTTTGTTTGTTTTAACCTGCCCACCTGATGACTTCATTTGGGTTTTCCTATGTCTTGTGTCATGAGAAGTGAGTAATTGTTCCCTGTTCTCCTTCTTCCTGAAGCTCATGATTTTATAGGTATTTTTCGTATTTCCTTTCAGTTGTCCCTTTTCCAAGCTGAAGAGTCCTTGTTTATTTAGTCATTGCTCAATATATAAGCTGTTCCATACCTTTGATCATCTCTACAGCATTTCTTTGGATTTCTTCCAGTTCTACTGTATGCTTTGTGAGAAGAGAGGAGGGACAGGGGTTAGAACTATCCTCAGTGTGCAAGAGGTGATGCAATTTTGGCTTATATGGTAGCATAGAAGTGTTCTCGGTTTTGTTCCCTGTGCCTTTCTTAATAATTCCTAACACTGACTTTGCTTTTTGAGAGTATTTTAGTGATGTTTTCATAGAAAAATCTATTATAGCTGTAGTTAGAAGGTCTCCTTCCTGAACAGAAATAACTAGTTCAAAGTCCATCCTTATGTAGAACCAAGATTGTGTTTCCTGCGTACATGACTTCGTAGTTATTAAATTGAATGTCATCTACCAATTTAATCTCTGATGATTCAGTAATGTTTGGTTTTTTTCACACTTCACAGTGACGTTCAGCTTTTCAACAGCAAACTTTTTTTATTTCACTCTTTTTCTCCCCCTCCTCTCCTCCCCCAGATCACTTATAAATGTTTTGAACAGCAGAGACCATAGCTCAGATTCTTGTGGGACCCCAGTGGTAATCTCCTTCCATTGTGGAAACTGCCCATTTATTGTAGCTCTGGTTTCATTTGGTTTAACCAGTTATGAAATCCGTAAGAGGTAACCCCTTTATCTTACATTGGCTTACTTTATTTAGAAGCATTTTGAATGAACTTACCAAATTTTACCAACTGAGAAATTGATGGTGTGAAAGTCAGTCCAGGCAAATAGACAAATACGATTGTTATTTAGTTCAAAACAGAGGTATTGAAGATCATAATCTTTCAGTAGTATTGATGAGGAATTAATCAGGCTGTTTACTGAGCACTAATTTGACTTTGATGGAGATGATGAATGCTTTTCACCGTTGTGTCTGGTGTTTGTTTCAAGAGCTGGTCTGCAGGATAACTTGACTTCATGGAGATGGAGGGAATGAACATAACTGAGATTCCAGCTGCTTCACACAGGGGAAAAGTCCAATAAGCTTTAACATCAGAATGAATGGTGGAGTCTGTATCTATGCAGTGGAAGGACTAGATATGGGATGGGAGTTTAGTCCAGGTGACAGGAACCTGCTGATAATCCATGTGGTGAACTGGTGGGATTGGAGAGGAGACAACTGGGGATCGTTTCAAAGATTCCCTGTGCCTTGTCCTCCTTTTAAGTTATGCTTTTTGTGGCATCCTGTGCCCAGGGGACAGTGCTGGGAGGCCAGCAGCGCACACACATATTCATGGATCCAGAGCTCAGCAACTGCAGGTAAAACCACAGTAGTTGAGGATCATCACCCTATTTCTGGGGCAGAAGGGGGAAGGCAAATTCAGAAGTGGGAGGCAGCTCTCTCAAGATTAAGCACAGAGGCAGATTTGGACCTATATAATTTGGGTTTCAGGGCCTGTGTACTCTCTGCAACATTACAGTTGTCACTTTTCTAACCACTAGTGAAAGGAAAAGAACTAAGACTGAGAATCTTGTAGCAAAAGGGAACAGGGAGTGAGAGTCATTTATCCAGTGTTGTACTGGGATACAGTGGGGAAGCAGAGGACTGAGGATGCAGAGTGGACATGTTGGCAGCTGAACTCTTTTTCCACTGGCTTGTCGTAGTACTCTGTTGCTGAGGAGCTGAGCGTGGAGAGTGACCCTTTAGTGTTTGGAGTCCCTGTCCTCAATTTGCTTTGAAAGAGATGCATTAGGTTATTTTTGAGGGCGAGTATGTAAGGCTGGTATTTGCTTCTGGTGTTGTTTAAAACATCCTTCTGAACATTTTAAGGGTTTGCTGTGATGATGAAGCTTGTGGGGGAAGGTGCAACACATTAGAGGGAAGCTGTGGCATGTTCCAAGAATCTAGGTTGTGAGTTTTGATAGGGTCCTGAAGGAAGGAGACTGTAGTTAAGTCCCTTGCGAAAACCATGGCTTACATTCCAAAGAGTGGCATGAAAGACACCAAATATCTTTTACATCCCGGTTACTTATGACATGCACAGGAAATACAGGGGAAGTCTAACACTGAAATCCAAAAGAAACATTTGAAAAGAGTGGCTGAAATATGACAGCGATCAGCAGAAACTTGGGAAGCTCAGGCATTGAGGCTTGAAGGTTTTATTAGCCAGGGTGTCAGGATTCAGTGGGTCTGTGGCATCTGTCTTGTGAGCACAGGATGTGTGAGTTGCTGGGCCATGGTAGCCTTCTCAGGGTACCTTGTGGTCCTGTCAGTCTGCCATCTGCTCTCTGCAAAGCCCCTCAGCCTTGTGGAGAAGTGTGCTGGTGCTGCCTTCTTGACAGGGCTTACAAACTTCAAAGCAAGCCAGTGAGCTCCTGTTGGTACTTATCACTTTGCAGGCCACAGCTGAACTCCCACTGTATAAGCCTGGGTTGTAAGAGCTCCTTCCTCTTTGCAGGAGGCCTTTTGTATCTTGGAAAAGACTTGTGTTGCTCTGATGATAAAAGAAATGAGCCTGTCTTCAGACCCCTCAAGTCTTTTGGGTTGTAACTGTATGAAGTCAGTATGTGCCCTAGTTGCAACCTCACCCTACCAGTCATTTATCCTCTCTGTGGATATTGTACTGCATGTCTGTCTTCTATTCCACTTCTACTGCAGCATGTATGTGCTTGGTGTAAGCTTTATGTTAGTGTATTAACAAAACACATTAACAAAAATATTTACAAATCCAAATAAATAATTATCTCGTTAGTGGTGGGAATCCTTAGATCTTTTCCTACTGCAGCTCTGTCTCTCTTCAATGCTAATCAGCCACAGACATGCTCCAGTTCAGAGTTTTTCTTCTCTTTTCCTTTGTTCTCCTCAAGCATGTTGTTATGGCTAGTAATATAGTCCCAGCCTGGAATTCAAGAAACTCCTTAGCAAGATGGCAGTTGGCACATGGCACCTCTAGCAGGTGTTGTGCTTGCTGGAGCCACTTAATACAATTTCCTAGCTGGCTAAGTATTAAGAGATTTTCAGGAAGCAGCACTGCCTTGTAAGCACGAGTCCTTGTATGCAGAGTGGTGATAGAGTGATAGCTCTTCTTTTCTCAGGGCTCCAGAGAATCATCGTTTTGTCTGGGAAGGAGAGATGGAGAACAGTGTCTACAACAAGGTGACACGGAATCCGCTGGCACATCCAACCTATCAGCTCAGTTTTGCTCTGCAACAACTTCAGGAACTTAAACTTCAGTCACGACAGCTGTTGGAGCAAAGTCAGGCCCGGCACCAGGTAATTAAGAAAAAGATCCTGACTGGGATGTAGCAGTGCTGACTCAGATGTGCAGAGTTACAGCCTTAGATGTGCAGAACCAACCCAGAGCCAGTGCATACGGCACAGCTTTTGTGAAGAAGTAGCTCTTTGAGTGGGTTGCAATAAAACTTGTATTATCTGCACTGATTTTGATAACATTTTTATGCTTTAATTCCCAGTGGCTTCTTCCACTGCATTGGCATCCTCCTTCATTTGGCTACTGACATGCTGCTTACTTTACTACACCAGTTCAGGGCATCCCCTTATAGTTCCTCAGCCTTAGAACTGTAGTCTCGATAGTTCTTTGTCACTTAATCTCATCACTGATGATACGTTCCTGCTTTGACCCAAGTTCTTTTTGGGAAGTGCTTAAGACTGGGTAACTGTTGTATTTCTCTGTTTCTAAATATAGGGTCTTGAAATTGTGTTGGCAGCTGTGTCCTGTGTCAAACAGACCCCATCAAGGCTTCATCTTGATTAAATTATCCTCCTCCTGAATGTCTTCTTATATGATTTGATTCAGTTATCAAAAGAGCAGTTATCAAAGGCGGAGTATGCTAAGGGGACTCAAAAAGTATTTAAAAGAATCTTCATTCTATTTAAGAATTGTATTAATTTCTTTTAAGAACCTTCGCTGTGCAGGAGGCATAGCCATTGACCCTGATGCCAGATGCAAGTTTTCTCTGCAACGCTGAAAATTTTTAGGCCTCCTACACATTTTGTTATTACTACATTTAACATCTCCTTTTGCTTCTTTGCATGGAACTGTCTGAAGGATACATGACTCCTTTGTTACAATTGCAAGGATAAAAGATGGGCTAAATGTCCAAGAACTGGAGGAAATGCGAAAAAGATTTTGTATTATTCCTGTTATGAATGACACCTAGATGCCAAGAGTGGACCACTGTGTTTGGAACAGCATTTCCATCCTGTCTGGGGAAGTTTCCAAGGTTACAATGAGATCATTGATGCAATTGTTACCTTTCTTTGTTATTATGGAGAGAGATGTGTGTTCTTTCTTCTGAGTGATGTCCAAAAGGCTTTCCTGTTAAAGGAGAGGAAGTCTTTGAGTGAACAAACCTTCACTCAAAAAAGATTGGTCTCCATTAGGAAGGAGCTATTTGCTGGGCAGTCTGGCAGGGCTGGACTCCAACAAAACCAGAACAGAGCTAACATGTGGAGGTCTGAACACCCACTCTCCCTCCTGTGAAGAGAATGAGTCACTAGTCAGGGTCTTTGAGAATAGGTTATAGGCAGATTGCCCTCATACTTTTCTGGGAGCGTCTTGGAAGAGGCCCTTCGACATTTACTCTTTGCACTCCTCCTTTCAAGCCTTCACTTAGCCATGCAGATTCCATCCCCAGATTCCCTCACCTACAGTCATCTTGCTCCCCCTCTGAGCAGAAGGTCTTCCTTTCATCTCTATCCAAGGGGCTCTGGGTGGGCAGCTGTGGGTGCTTATGAGTTCAGGAAAGGGCTGTAAGCTGGCTTGTGCCTGTGAGGAGGCTGGAACTGGCCACAGGGCCTGGCTGAGCCCTCTTCTAATTGCTGACATTGAGCTGATGTTATTCTTGGCCTGGGGCAGAGCCATTACTCAGGAGTTTCTGTTAAAATGATTCTTTGTTAAACCTCCTCTCACCCCCACAACATCCCTCTCCTTTCTTTCCCTCCCTTCTCTTTCGGAGCCAAGCACTTTGGAGTTGCAGTATTGAGGCCATTGCCGCAGGGCTCAGGCTGCACTGAAGTTGCCATTAATGAAGAAAGGTATTTGCTGAAAATGAGGAGTTTCAGACTTTCTGAAGTGAAAAAATTCTTAATAAAATGATTGTCCCTTGGAAGTAGCCAAGAGACTTCTTCTCTCAGCCAGACCTCCCCTTCCAGTCACAGTTGCACCGATCCTCTGATGCCTCTCCCAGTCACTGCACTGCCCTCATCTTTATCTGTCTGTCCCCTGCTCCCTCTCTAGTTTTCTGTGACTGACCTCTTCCTCCTGCTGGTTAGCTTCTCAGATGTCAGTCCTTTGACTTGACCTTTCCCAAGGACTGCTTTTCTGTTGCTGCTGCTGCTTACATGCTTCCTGCCCTACATCTCCTTCCCACTCACGCTGCTTTGACTTCTGCCTCACCTTTTCCTGCTGGCCATCATTTGTCCTCTTTTTTAGCCACAGCTGATGTAGTTTATCCTGGCCTTCATGGCTTTACTACATTTCCTAGTCAGTGTCACCTAAGCCACCGATCTCCTGTTGCCTGCTC